TCCACACAAGAATGCTTACTAGAGCTGCTGCTGGAGCTTGTTTAATGGGCAAACCTAATGCGCGTGACAACGATTCAACAAATATTTGGATAGCAACTTCAGTCTGTCTTCCTTTGCACACCTTGGCATGTGATTTTATTCTTTTCAACATCACTTTGGGAGGGGACTCAGACTTCATTAGTCTAACAAAGGGGTCCATGACAAAAAAAAAAAAAAACCACCACCCAGAACTTGCTTGACTCTAGAGGGGTTCCTTTACTTTCACTTTCTCCTCTAATTAACTAGAAGCCCGCTGGGGCATAAACAAGCCCCTGTCCTAAGTGTGTCTCCTCAGAGCAGCTGTGCACAAGCTCCGGTGGCCACTTCTCACGTGAGTTCCAGTGCAGCTGTCAGAAAGATCGCTATTGCAGCAAAACGTATTCTACAATTTCGTCGCCTGTGTTGGAGGAATGGAACTTTGGTCATTCCTGTAATACGTGCCCCAGCCTGCTGTTGGCCGGCTGGCCGGCCTAGGGACACTTTTCCAACCATCCAGCCACACCCCCAGTTGAAGCTTTTCCACTCCAACTAGAGACCTCACCATTCTTGCACAAGAACTTGTCCTTCGTCCGCATCAAGCGCTTAGAACCACACTGGCTCTGTCCCCGAGTCCCCCACGTCGTGCCCATGGAAGAACCGAGACTAAGTGGAAGGCAGGCTGCAAATAATGTGCAGACACTGGAGTCCAGCACCCCTAGCTTTGACTCTCTGTACCAGGTGCCCAGAGCAAGTTAACGTCTCTAAGATCCGTTTTCCCTCGGGAGGACGAATGCAAATGCCTTTCATTGTGAGGTCTGAATGCTGGGACACTACGGTTCATGGTGCTGTTCCTCCCACCCGGAGCCCTGGCTGGCCAACGCCCGCCAAGGAGTCCTGGTTTCAATGGCTGAAGCCTTTTCTGGACCTGGGATGCAGACGGCTCCCTCCTTAGGCACGCTCTTTTCATTCCTTCACAAGACTGGCTACGTCATTTGCAAGGCCCAATGCAAAATGAGAACGCAGGACACCCCCCTTGTGCAAAACTTAAGAATTTCAAGAGGGCGATAGCAGAGTGTGCCCCAAAGTGGAGGGCGCTTCTGAGTCAGGGCCCTCTGGGACAGCACAGGTGGCCTGCCCATGAGGACAGCCCTGCGCCTGCTATGGGGGCAGATGTTCCCACATGGCGGCACTGTAGAATCACCTGCAGAACTTTAGAAAAGTACTGACGCCCAGGCCCCTCACCCCAGAGAGAGTCCAGATAGCTAAGAGCTTCCCAGGTGACTGCAGCGTGCAGCCACACCTGAGACTCCCTGGACTAGTGTGACAGTAAACCTTGGAAGACTGTCATGACCAATCTCCACAAAGAGCTTGCTGAGGTGGTCCCCATAATGCCCTGATCAAACACAGAAATATGCTGGTTTATAGGGTACCTTGGGTGTCCAGGACCGGTGTGCTAGGCGTTTTCTAGAAAAGTCACCCCCAACCTTTATAAGCCTGCATTACTGCTCAGGGGCAGAGAATCCTCACGGCCCAACATCTCCCTCCAGGATTTTTTGTTTTTGTTTTTGTTTTTTTAGCTGAGCCATCCTGCCACCTGTTGGCAGCTCAGCGGCTGCTCAGCTTGGGCTGGACTCGAACCGCTGTTGCTCAGAGCTCAAACTCTTGAGCGAGCTCTTAACCAACTGAGCCACTCGGCCGGCCTCCCTCCAGGTTTGAACCCCACACAGGCTATGCCCGATGCACACTTCCTCAGCACCCTTTGCAGTAATAAAGCCATGTGATCAGCCAGGTAGTCAGGGGCAGTGAGCAGAAGTGCACACACAACTTTCCAGCAGCGTTAAGGGGAGGGGGCGTGGCCGCCTTCTGTCCTGACACAGGCTTAGGTTGATGAGGGCGGGAGCTGGACGCGAGGCAGAAGCCATGACCCCCAATGTCATAAGGCCACAGTACTTGCCCTTGGTTATCTCCCACCCACGCTCTCCCCAAACAAAACAAGAAATGAGAAAAGGACACAGGTCAGCCCAAACCAGTCCGTGTTATCTTTACGCCAAATGCCTGAAACGGGCCCATTTTACGGATGAGCAAACCGAGAATCTGAAGTAAAATCTCTGGCCAGATGTCAGCCAGACAGTATTGCCACAGGCAGGATCTCCTCGCCAGCTTCCTCCTCAACCCCACTGGCTTACGACAAAAGGCGGCTTCTCATCACCCTCTTCAGATCAATTCATTACTCGAACAACGTCTTTTTGGAGACCCAGCCTAGCACCGTAGTTAAAATACCTGGGCTCTGGAGCTACACTGCGTGGGGCTGAAATCCACCTCTGTTCTAGGCAGTTTCTTCACCTTCACACGTCAGTGTTCAAATCTGAACAAGAGGACCTAGAGTAAGGCAAGTGAGGCAGGCCCCTCAGGTGCAAACGGAAAGCGGTGCCAGAGCCTCACCAATCAAGGTGAATATTTTCATGCAATTTCCTAAAAACCAAACGTAACATAAAAAAAACAAACCCCAAAATCCACAATGAACAAAAATCAGAATTTTAAAGAAAGATAGGATCCAATTCTGCCATCGCACAGCCCAGCCCTAACTCCCAGGCCAACTTCTAATACAAATTTACTTACAAAAACGAAGTGGCTGACCTGTGGGTCATAGTGCGCTAATTAAAAAAAAAATAAAAAAAATACTGCATTGAAATAGTATTTCTTGGTGACTGAGTTTTCGGTGCCCTGGGCAAATGCCTCACTTGCCTCACCCTAGTTCCAGCTCCGGATGGCACCTGGGAGAAGTGGGTGAGTGAATGTGTAAACACAGGCGAAGCTCTTAGTACTGGCTCAGAGTACGGACTAGTGTCACCAAATGGCCACCAGGAATTAAGTCTCACCCTTTTTCTTTAAGGAAGAAATTAAGTGTAGGGATAAACAATTCATGTTCTACCGTATTTAGAAGGCAGCAAGAAACCTTAAGCAGAGGAAAGCGAGAAGGTGTCACTTTGATTTTTGGACGCTTCACTGGAGATTTTATCGTTGATCTGAATAAGGATCAAAATGACCCAGCTCTCCCCACTGCCTACCTGGAACTCATCTACCTGTCGCACGAAGCAGCACCTTTGCTGACGGGATCCCAGGATTCTTAGTAATTCTCCCCCGCGTTTACCCATGACCAATTTACTCTGCTGTTTGTACTCAAACAGCGCAGCTCAGGGGTCCGTAAACTATGGCCCTCCAAATCATGGCCTGCTTGTTTAAAATAAAGTTTCACTGACACACAGCTACACCCATTTGCTTACCTATACCCTGTGGCTGCTTTGGTTACAACGGCAGAGTTAAGTGATGGTGTTACAACAGCAGAGGTGAATAGTTGAGTAGTTTGGACACAGGCTGGGGCCAGCAAAGCCCCAAACATTTTCTACCTGGCCCTTTACTGGAAAAGTCTCTCCACCCCTGGTCCAAGTGAAGTCAACCTGCAAACACACTCGTTCCACCAATTTACCCTTTCAGAGTCCCATCAACTTTGCAAACAGGGAGCTGGGTACAGAAACGCTGCCTTTCTGGTCTACAGCATGGCTGTTTCCCAGTTTTATTTAATGATCATCTGTATATTTTAAGTCTCATCCTTGTAGGGTTAGCCAGTTTACCCTTCCCCTTCCAGATTTTATAAAGTTTTATGGGAACACAGACACATTCATTCTTGTTCTTACAGTCTCTGGCTGCTTTTGTAAAGCTAACAGCACAGAGTTTAGTCACAAAAGAGACCTTGTGGCCCAAATACTATCTGGTACTTGGTCCAAACTACTCTCTGGTCCAAAGCTTGTAACTGACCTCTGCTCCACCGGGAATCCAGATTGGCTAGGCGTTAGCAGGGGAGATCTAAGACCCTTGAAGTCCATACAGCTGTTAAAAAAAAAAAAAGTCTTCTGAAAAGGCCGATGTCCTTCCTGTTTATCTGAAGAGCTACAACACCAGACATAGGAGGAGCCTTTCTCTGATTTTGATCTCTGGGTTCCCACTTAAAAGGTCATCAACCCTTCTGTTTTAGAACAGAAACGTAGATAAGACTCCTGACAAACAGCCAAAAGGTGACAACAGAATCTGTACATGCACCAGCATTCAGAAACCAAACGCAGGTGCATTCAGAAACCAAACGCATCTCTAAACAACGGAAAAAACAGTTCCAAAGCAAAGCAACGGTCCAGTCTATCATGGGCCTCTCTCCTCACGGTCATTGTTTGTCCTGACAGCAAAGAGATTCCACAGTGCATCATCACCCACCTGATGCCAAACGTAAACGGAATCAGATTTGTCCAGACAACAAAATTCATAACAAAATAAACTATGGATCTCCTGCTATTTCATAAGTGAAATATTCCCCTGGATACAATCTATAAAAATCTTTTTTATATGTTTTCATGTCCTTTTTTTTCATTTCCCTCAAACAATGGATCTATTATAAGAGCATAGATTTTTAGCTTGATGAGGGCACCCAAGAATTTGTATTAAACAGACAGTGTATTTGAAGAAAAGATGCTAAATTTGAACCAACCAACCAACTTTGGATAAATTATATATCCACTGGCATTCCATGGTCTCCTAAGTAAAATGCCTATTTACAAGAGGTTAGGATTTTTACTTTGTTGGTTCAGCAAACACCATGTGCCCAGTGTGATGACAGACACTAGTTTCAGGCTGTCCCCCGTGTCGCGTGCCCCATAACCATGCCCAGGGCCCATGGGGTTCCTGGTCTTCTCTTTATGAAGACCAGGACACAAATCTTGAATTTCACAACGGCACTAGGGCTGAGCTAGGGTTAACTTGATCTCTGCTGCCACCTACAGATCAAACTGCATTTCACGCCGCGGCAGCACTAAGACATTGAGAAACCCTGTGTGTGAGTTTATCATTACCGAACGCAGGGGATGGGGGAACCCCACACCATAACCTGTCTATGGAAGAAAAATGGAGTGTTCCTCTTATGCAATTCTTCAGGAGAGTTTGCCTTTTTATTATAAGACAACAGGTAAAAAGGAACCACACAAAAAACGTATAAGGCGGACACTTCTATAACCACCACCCAGGTTAAGAACCAGGCCAGCTTACCCAGGCCCTCCACGGACCCCTCCTCACCTGAACCTTTCCCAACTATACAGACCAGGTGAGTTTTAGTTTTCCAGGTGGTCTAAACAGTTCCATCAGAGATGGATGAGTTTTAGAGCTGGAACCCATCAAGAAGCTATCCCTATGGGATAGAGAGGTACTCAGTGGACCCCACCTTGGAGCAGGTGAGTCAACTTGCTCAGATGATACTTGGAGGGAAGACAGCCCCGTGGAGAGCTGTCTCTCCAATGGCATTGCTTTGCATCTGCCCTCATGCCAGTGACTGCAGCCACTGCCTCTGGAGGCCTATGAAGTTGGGAGCAGCCATGCCTGGAGCTGGTGACCAAAGTCTGGCTCGACGGCCTCACCTAAGAGGGCTGGGCGACAGCACTTGCCAGGAATCCTGGACAGCTCACCACCTCCTTTGCCTGAATTAGAGGCACTGGCTGGGCTCCAGGGTGGTCTCCAGCTGCCCCACGGTCACCAGGGTGCCAAGCTGCCCCGAGGCACTGCTTTCCGGCGGGAAGGTGACCAAGTCCGAGTTCTTATTCTCGCTCTGGTCACTGTGCTGCTTTTTATGGCATCTCAGAGAGTCGTCCCTGACGAAGGCAGCCCCACAGGTCTCACAGCGAAAGGCCCTCTGGGTCACGATCTTGGCCACGTGCTGGGAGCTGCTCTCTCGGGGCCCTTCTTTGCCCTGCGGGGCCCGGTTCTCCGTTTTGGCCTCGTCCCTGTGTACCTTGTCAATGTGCTTGGCCAGGCTGCTCGGCCGCTTTGTGTCAAAGCTGCAGAAGTCGCACTTGAAGGGACGGTCCTTGCAGTGGACCCTGCTGTGCACGCGCAGGGCGGCCGCACTGGAGCAGGAGTAGCTGCACTCCGGACACTTCTCGGGGTGGTCTGCCTGGTGCAGCCGGCTATGCTCCAGGAGGTCAGCCCGGTCGCGGCCCTGGAAGCTGCAGTGCAGGCACTTGAAGGTGTGCTTGATGCGGATGTGCGACTTCAGATTCGCTTTCATGGTGCAGCGGACATCACAGAACTCGCACTTGAAAGGCTTCTCTCCCGAGTGCACGATCATGTGCCTTTTCAAGTCCGAGCTGATTTTGAACTTGGCGCTACAGAGCCAGCACTGGAAGGGGGTGTCCCCTAGCAATGGAAGGTGTGTTTCCATTAGAGCAGGCAGGCAAAACACAACTCCCCCCAAACATGCGTCAGAACACGTGGCCACAAAGGGACAGGTGAGTCTTCTGAGCTCCAGCTACCTAATGACCCCATTTACTATGTTTCTTAACTTGCTTAATCATCACAACAGTGCTTTGAGTGGGTACTATTACCCCCACACCCCCCATTTTGCAGATGGGGTAACTGAGCCTCAGAGAGGGTCAAATTATTTACCTAAATACAGGGATTTGAACCCAGGTATCACGGCATCCAAGTCCACACTCTTCGCAAGGACACTGGTTTTGAATCTAAACTCTCCTTTAGCCTGACATCCCAAAATTGAACATGGAAGAAGGAAAAGGTGCATACAATGTCACATACAACTGTCCCAAATGAAGCTAAGACTTGTACATATGCTCACTCCAGTGCTTAAGCTGCGTTACATCAGTTAATTGGCTTGTATTACTAGCTAAGGTTTCACAACTACAGAATGAATTTTGTTTATAAATGTAACACCTGAATTGGGCAGCGGAAGACAACTAATGAGAACCCATAGCCTCCTCCGCACCCCTGGAGACACCGCTAAAGGTTTTTCGTTCTTTTGTGGGCTGTTGCTTTAAATATCATCGTCAGTTAACGACAAGCAAAGATGAGAATCTCCCTTATCCTACACATGTATCCAATGTCCTCCTGTTTTCTCATTTCTACTCTTCCAGAGCTACCTTCCAGACTGAGTATTAGCTTCACAACTTCCTGTCCATCAACTTAAGAGGTTTTTTGAGGATTCCCTCCTCTTGTCAGGAGTAGCTTTATTTTTACATTTAACTGCAACAACATTTGCATTCTGACCTGTGAATGCTCATGCTTTAACTAGCTGTTTTCAGCTTTCGAGTCAAGCGACACTAAGTCCTCACTTAACTTTGTCAATAGGTTCTGCGACTACAACGTGTAACAAAACCGATTTTACCGTAGGCTAATGGATGTAAGCAAGAGTTACGGCATCTCAACACTGTTATAAAGAAACAACGTTGAATGAATGAACCGAAGTTACTCGAGGACTTGCTGTACAAGTAATTTGGATTATGATTGGGTATGGGACATTCATCTGAGCCAATTATGGCACCAGGATTACGTCCACCTCCTTACAGGGTCACTGTCACACCTGGGCCGGTTGACAGTGTTGCTAGCATCACGGTCAAATTGATCCTCTTTTCTTTCATGCTCTTTTTGGGCCACGTTTTGTCATGCTTCTTAAAAGACTGTTTTTTGAGGGGAAAAAAAAAGAATCTCACCATGATCTCAAAAGTCAGCCCGTCTCTTTATTGTGGAAACATTTACATGGAATTTCTAAAGGATTTTCTGAATTTCTGATTTATTGGATTTTTTCCCCCTCTTAACCTCCTCTACAACTATCACCCTGAGATTTCCCTTTATTGCAACACCAGTTAGCTATATCCCGATATTCATATATCAACTATCTCATGTCACATTTTTTTCTCCTTTGTTCTGCTAGAGTGCCTTCCAGTACTTTTCACTAGAGTGGTGGCTGGGAATGAAGTCTGAGTCTTCGCATACCTTTGTCTATTCTGCTTTCATAGTTGAGACAGTTTGGCTGGGTATAGAATTCTATGTTCCAATTCATTTCCCAACTTTGAAGGCACTGTTCCGCTGTCTCCCAGCAGCCACTATTATTGAGAAGTCTTTCTAGGTATGGATTGCTCCAGCCACATCCTTGGCCCTGATTGGCTCTTGTGAGCCCTTTCACTCCCATGGCTTCTTAGAATTGTGAAATCCTTTACTTATTTTTCTCACTTCTATTTTGTTTCTTCCTAGACCTTGTCAGCAACCAGATTTCCAGCTTCTTATTCTTTCTCAGTTCTCCAATTCAAAATTTTTTTTTTTCCTGATCTCTGGGATTTTGTTTTAACTTTATAGACAGCAATCCTGGTTTTAATTCATACTCCTTTGTTCTCACTACCTTTTCACAGAACTCTTCTTGGATGTGACATTTCTGCCAGTGGGTAGATAACAATAAGGATTGAAAAATTCTTGTCTATTATCCAAGTACTCTGTTAACTCCAGGATTGATTACTTATTTGTTAGACTTGATGCATTTTATACCATCATTTCCCACAAATGACTCATAATCCATAGTTGACACTTTGTGTCTAGGAAGAGTGGATTGGTTTTAGGATTAGGCATAGGTGCCATAGGTTTTACTGCCACTGGGTAGTTTGGGCCATTTTGACAATAGGCTTCAGCTTTTCTGAGATCTGTGGCCTTGGTAGTCCACATGGCAGTTTCAAGTCCAGTACTCTCAGGGCCGCCAGACATTGACTGGACAGGTCAGCTCCCAACTGAACGGTTGCCTCCCTTTGTCTGTGTGAGACAGTTTTCTTTCCTCAACTTTCGATATTAGCATATTCCCGTATGCTTGCCATTTTCCATGAGTTCATTCAAAATTCTCATTTTAAGAGCCTCCTTACGAGCCTCTCCATCCGCATTTTTCTGTGCCATGATGGGTTGGCTGGTTCTATCTATCAATCGATTATTTCAATGGGGTCTCACAAAGAAGGGAAGAAAAATTTCCTTGCAAAGTCTAATTTCTACAGCTAAAAGCTTGTGACCTGAAGTTACACTCAACTGAATTTGCTACATGTTTCTGAAGTAAGCTATGCAATCAGAGTTTAAGTAAAATGACTGAAACACCTAGTTTATACATCAGACTTTTATTCAAGATACATCTTTGCTTCTCAACTGCTGTATTGGGTACTTATCCCCAGCTGTGCTCGGTACTCCTCCCCAGCCGTACTCTATGTAGTCAAGTTAGAAAACCCAGCTATCAGACTTTCACGTTTTACTAAAAGCTACTATCCCGGCAAAATGAAAAACCACAAGCGTCACAATCGCCACAGAAATTCCAAATTTCTTTAGCCACCAAGTTAAGTTGCTTGTGTTTTTGGTAAATGAAGGTTAAGAAATTAGAGACCAAGTAGGCACAGAGGTTTCCGGGTCAGGGACTTACCTGTGTGGGATCGCAGGTGGACGGTGAGCTGGCTGGAGTTGCGGCTGGCATAGGGGCACAGCTGGCACTTGTACGGCCGCTCGTCAGAGTGTATCCGCAGGTGCTTCTTGAGGCTGCTGCTGTCCACAGCGGCGTAGTCACACAGGTGACACTTGTGGGGCTTCACGCTGGTGTGGCAGCGCATGTGCATAGTCAGGTTGTCCTTCCGGCTGAAGCACTTGTCACAGAACTCACACTTGTGGGGTTTGTCTCCTTCAAACACATAAAAGATTCAAGGTTTTAAGGGTTTCTCTATCAAGATACTGCAAAGAGATCTGACCAAAATGGTAGCCCGGGCATATGGGCTTACCTCTTCCTTCTGTCCAAATGCCCAGAGATAGGAACATACTGAAGTCTAGGTTAGCACATTGGGAGATAAGAAAGTGTGCCATTCATTGATGGCTCAGAAATTCTGAAGACTCCTAAGGGACAGATTCAATAAAATCAGATGGAAGGAGAAAACCATAAGCCAAACCCTATCTGGGAAAATGGGAGTGGTTATAGAAGTACTCAGGATCAGAGGTGGCAGGGGTAGGGGTCTTAGAACAGGTTTCTGGCTCACTAGGCGATGAACCACATAGAGAATCGTCAGGTGGACCCCTTCCCTCACTTGTACCAAATTGCAAGCAGCAATGGTAATCCCACCCCAGGCTATTAGGAAATGAGGGTGCTCATACCAGAGAAATGATGCAAAGACCGCAAGTAGCTAGAGATACTCTAGAAAACAAAGAACCCCATGCCCAGAACATCTCCAAATAAAGTGTTCTTCTCTTCCCCTACAGCCACCTCAGACCAATCACATCCAAATAAAAATTAATCTACCCAATAATCAAATGCTTGGGGGCAAGCCAGACCAGGAAGATGTGCCCAACTCAAAAACTAGAAGTTATATAAAAGCAGTTTTCATTCCCATAATAATTTCCAGTCTCCTCTTATTGTCAAAATAAAACTTCCAGTGACTAGCAGAAAGGATGTCTGAAAAATGACTAGCAGTAGAAGATGGAGCTAAACAATCTCCCAGAAGTTTGCCCCAAAAGACAACAGGGAAAGTACAAGACATGAAAGCTAGTTCTAGATTGTCCAGGTCAGAACAGAGCAAATAATTATTTCTCAGCACTAAAGACTGCCACAGGTCCTAAGATGCCTTATCTAGAGGCAGGGCGGCATAATTTCAGAAGCCCAAGAATGATGAGCTCTTAAAACTAAGAAAAATGCTCAGATCAGCCCACAATACCTCAGACGACACTGGATGGTAGCAAGATGGGAACAGTATCTGCAAAGTTCTATAGAAATTATTCATATAGAATCCAATACTTGAACTAGCATTCAATGGAAAGAGAAAATAGAGCCAGTTGACAGATGGCTCAGGGTGTCACACTTGAACTGTGTATACATCGGGGGGTGAGGGTGAGGGGGGGTGAAGAAAATGGAGAAACTGTGGGATATGTGAAAGTAATGAAATGGAAAGTATTGCTTCCAAACCACAAAAGAGAACCGAAAAAAAAAAAAGCACACAAAATAAGGTGTAAATCAAATTAAAAGTATGTTAAAATTTCATAAAGAAGCCAGTTTAATGTTCTTAAGATACCTAAGTAAATGACTAAGAGAAATAGAAAATGATAGAAAAATAGGGAAATAGGAAAATGCTAAAAGAAAGTGAGAGTATCCATTTTAGTATTAGGCAAAATATAAATCATGATGAACGCTACTAAAAATTTCATATTTGAGATAAAACTCGCCACGTAGACATGAATCAAACAAACTTTTATGAATCTCACATGGTCTGCAAAAGTGTTTTCTAAAAAGTCAGTTTGAAAGTTGTAGGACACATTTTAAAACCATTTTTTTGTTCAAGAACCCAAATCAGATTACAGACCTCTTTGAGACAGACGGGCAGTCAGAGTTCCACGTATCAAAACCTATAGCCGAGTGCTTCTCAGAGCCAAGTTATAGACTTATTTTTTATTTTTTGGTGAGCCATCCTGCCACCTGTTGGCAGCTCAAAAGCAGCTCAGCTCAGGCCGTGAATCGAACTGGTGACCCTGTTGCTCAGAGCTCACACTCTTGAGTGAGCGCTTAATTAACTGAGCCACTCGGCTGGCCCTTTAAGTTCATTTTTAACAAAAGACTGAAAGCAAGTGAGCCATATGCAATTCAAGAAACTCGAGGGACTAAACGAAGATCACAGCACTTGATCAATAAAAAAAAACAATAAAATATGGTTGTTAAACAGGGAGGTTTGCTCCAAAAGAGAAGATTCCAATACACTAGGATTTTCAATCTCGACACCATTGCCGTTTTGGCCAGGTAATTCTTTGCGGTGGGCTGTGCGGTGTATTGTAGGGTACATCCCTGGCCTCTTTCCCACGAAATGCCAGTAGCACCTCCCTCCCCAGTCATGAGAGTCAAATATGTCCTCAGTTACTGCCAAATGTCCCTTGTGGGGGGAAAGCGAGGGGGCCAACATTTATCTGGTTAGGAGCCATTCCGGTAGACACTGGAAAACAGAAAGGGGATTACAGATAGGCAAAGTCAACTTTACCCCAATATTTTTAGAAGATTCAATAAAATGGATGATGGTCCAGGCAGATATAAAATGACAAAGCAAAACGGATCAATAACAATTTAAAAAATTGCTCTAGTCAGAGATGCACTCCGAGGTAGGTTGGTTGTGTAATGTTCTAATATTTGCTGTCCTTCCCAGGAGAACCCTGCTTCCCTGTCCCAGTAACTGCAGGCTCGGGCATGATGGCTTGCTCTGCCCATTGAAATACGATCAAAACTGATGAGTCACTGTTAGGCGCATGCTTTTATGAGCCAGTGTACAGTCGGCCACACTCATTTCTCATGCCTAAGACGACCGGTAACGTTCCAGATCAGGGGTTCTTCATTTGGGGCTTGTAGATAAAATTACGGGGTCCAAGATGTTATATGGGAAACCATTACCTTTTTATTTCTGCAACCCCTAAGGGGAATTTAGCATTTCCCCCCGTTATGAAGGCACTCGACAAGCCACACTTATAATGGTACCCGAGACCCTCGGGGATAGACACAAGCCATGTTCCTATCACATTCCACTTCGTTGGGGCTCTCAGCATGTCATTTATGTTCATCGCTGCTTCACAATTAGGGTAGTTAGTAGAGCAGCCATGAGATCCCAACATTAAATGCAGGCCTTCTCAGGGCTACTGTGAATGCTGGCCATCTGGGGGTGGGGAGGGTGTCACTAAAATGCAGATTATTTTGTTTCAGGTTTGAGATTTAACTGACACATAACATGGTGTAAGGTGTACCATGGGATGATTTAATGTCTGTATATGTTGAGAAAGGATTCACCTCATTGTGGTAACACCTCTATCACCTCAACTAATTACCATTTTTGGTGGCAGGAACATTTAAGATCTCTTTGCACCTTTCAAGTATATACTACAGTATTGTTAACTATAGTCAGCATGCTGTACGTTCTAACCCCACAATTTACTCACCTTATCACCGGAAGTCTGTACCCTTTGATCAACATCTGCCTATTTCTCAAGCCAAACTTACAAAGTAAAATGCAGTTTCAGATTTAGTGGGTCTGGGGGGAGGGGCCCTGAGATTCTGCATTTTGAACAAGGTCCCCTGGAGGGATGCTGACATTTCTGGTTTGTACCACTTTAGGTAGCAAGGGTTCAGTGTATTAAAATACCACACGTTTACGCTTCGATAGCAAATGTACTGAAATATAAATTTTAATGTGGTTTTTTTTACGACATTTAAAAACATTATTCTGGGAAAGGTCCACAAGCTTCACAAAACTGCCAAGAGTCCACAGCAGATAAAAGGTCAAGCATGCCTTTATCTGGTGTGTTCCAGGCAGAGGCCGCTCTACAAGCTGGGTCCTGGAGAAAGGCCCACGGCGCAGAGCTGTGGCTGGCTCTGGGGTTGCTGGGATGGGCAGACCAGTCTGCAGTCGCCACTGAGACTGATATTGTCATCACAGTCTATCTACACACCCTCTCCATCCTCTGAAAAAAAGTCATAAGCAGAGAGAGTATTGGGGCATATTCTATCAAATTATGTGGGCACGCTCTGTCAAATTATCTAGAAGCGTTTCCCCGTTCAATTAACTGTTTAATAGCATAGGGAGAGATAAAAAACGCCTCAACCCACTTCATGATAGATTAGCTGGGGTATCAGTGCCAAACGAAGGAACACCAAGTATGATCAGAAAACACAAACAATGTACATCAATCTCCTTTATGAGGCTAGATAAATGCCCGGGGGCCATACTTCAAAAGGAGCAAAACATTTGAAATTCAACCATCATTCTCCATTTAAAAAACATTTCCCCCTCTCCCTCCAAAAAAACTTGTCAGAAGACTAGGAATAAGAAACTTCTTTAACATGATAAACGATCTCTAAGAGGATTCTAGAGACTCTAACCGTGAATGAATGATGCTAACATCAAAGCATTCCTTTAGAGCAAGGAATAAAATATGGATGATTTACTCTCACTGCTAGTCTTCAACTCTGACCTGAAGCCCCTGGGCCAAGGCACTCAATCAAGGAGAAAGAGGAAAAATCATTATTTGCATGCAATAGATAGTCTACCTAGACAATCTGAAAGAATGGACTTGAACTGTTAGAATCAATGAAAGGACCCCAAGGGGCCTGGAGACAACACTCAAAATTCATTTTAAAATAGCTTTGCTACCGTCAGCATTCTATCAAGTTTCCATGTCCCTCTTATTCTCACATCCCCAATCCGTCTACTCCCTAAAGATAACCACATACTCTCTAAATTGGTAAGGAGCGGGAAGAGGGCAGTGATGGTTTAAATTAAATGCCAGGTGATATGTGGTATTCTGAGGTTCACTGTCAGCTAGCCTGATGAAGAAAATACAGTGTTTGTGTTTCATTTGCATTTTATTGCTTATGGGCTTTTCATGTGAATATGGGCCTTTCTATTTCTTAGATGATTGCCTATTCATATCCTTTTCCACTGGGCTATCTTTGATTTGCAGAAATCCTTCTGTGTCCTGAAGATGAATTCTGCCCGGTTGCAAATTTCTTCTTGTGGGACACTTGTCTTAACTTCTTAGCAGTGTCTTGTTATCAATTTTAACTTCAGTCACATTTAAACTGATTTGGGGTCTCTGCTAATTGTTTGCCTGTCTACTTACACCATAAATTTGTACTCCTCCATTTCCTAATTACAGACTTTAATACCT